AAAAGAAAAGCTATCAATATTCGAAAGCGAAGCGCGACAACAAAGACGAAGAAAACCGAACGATATATAACACTTCCCAATTCGAAACCAGCCGAGATGATATCGAAACAGATTGAAATGACTGGATTTAAAATCGCTTTCTCTTCGGGAACAAAGGTAGGGGATATACTAAAAAACCACACAAAAAGAAATGGAGAAGAAAAAAGTTTAGTGTATAAGATTCCTTGTGGTTCTTGTGACAAATCATATATAGGGGAAACCGGGAGGGGCTTAGACGTTAGATTAAAGGAACATAAGCGGGACATGCGAAACAACGCAGAACATAGCGCGGTAGTAATTCATGCTCAGAAAACACATCATTTACCAAGATGGGGTGGGGCGGAAATTATAGCATTATGTAAAAACAAAGACAATCGGAAGGCGACAGAGGCGGCATTTATAGCAATGAACGAAACGATTAATATTAGGGTGGGTTCGATGAAATGGGCAAAACCAGCGGCGATGTATAGTTTGAAGAAGACGCGTCATTAGTTTGTATAAGTACCTACTTGTTCATGATCGTTCTGTACAAATTTGATGTTATCCATGTGTCATATGTATGTCAGTGATCTATTTTGCTATCATTTTTCGTGGATATTCTCCTACAGGTGGATTAGTAGCGAATATGTCATATGCATGAATTTTTAAAATCAAGACGATTGCACTGTGACGAGCTCGAATGTTTGTGTGCTATATCTTGTTTTCTCTGTGATGTCATGCTGATGAAGATTTAATAATCGAAACGCGTCCATGCACTATTTGTTCCGTGTTTTTCTGTTTTTCTAATATGATTTTAGTCCCTTTTTATCCCTCAAATGAGCGAGCGCGTCAAAACTGACCCAAGCGTTAGTCTGGTTGTCAAAATAATGGTTGCAGTCGATTCGTCGGATGACGTATCAGTAGCTACGAGGTACCTGGCTAGCCTCAGCCCTGCTACCCTCGGACCTGCCTGCATAGGGGAAATGGGGTCAGATGGTGGATCCCTCTGGGGCTTTCCTAATAAGACGCGCAAAAAGGAGTATATTGCAACGAAACCTCCAGTGACCTCGAGTTAATGAATTGTACACCTATTCTAAAAAAAATGGCCCCATGATTCGAATATGGATGACCTTGGTTACCTTTTTTGAGTTTTATTTGCTTCCACTTACAAGTGTGGTTTTTGGGGCTGATTTCGAGTTTAGCGCCCGTTTGAACCGTTTGAAGTAGTTTTGATAAATGATGGTTATGTAACATGTTACGAAGCTATCGTTGGTGGTTGTCAGTCACCCACTCTAGATGGCCGGCAGGAAGCCTGATGGTCGACCTGACCTGACCCGACCCGATCTACCCAAAATGCATGGAGTCATCATCTTTGTTCAAGACTAACATCGAACTCGTACTCGGGACCCCGATAACAGCTACGGCTCACTAAGTTCTAGCAGGCGGCCAGATTTTTCCTACTTTTGGGCGTTGACCTAAGATGACCCGGCCAAGACCTTGAAATTGGGTATCATCGGCTTTCTCTCATCACGGGCAGCATTTTCGCTCTTCCGCGAAACTCTACCTCGATCAGGGGCCGAAAGCATGCCTTATGCGTTACGTTGGTAAACATTTTACCTTAGCGACCCGCAAAATACGAATAAGAGCTACAGCAACACAGAAAGCGTATTCGATAGCTTTTTAAAGCTCTTTCGCCAACTTCGCCTCAGATATGACTTCGGGTCTATGGCTTGTGTACCATAGAGTCCAAACAGCTAAACTGACGGATTTTGCCGAAACATTTGTTCTGTAACAACCTATGATTCAGTGAATGTGCATGATATTCATGTTATCACCATCGTTTTTGTTTCGTCGAAACACGTCGCATGGCTTACAATTTGAGCTTAAAAACTTGAATAGAAAACTTGACATCAGGTAAAGGTCATGACCTGACCGGAAAAGAACCTGCTGCATATGGATCGATCTGTGTTACTGAGCTGAACACACTCCAGGTGCTGTCATCGCTCTACAACGTCTCCATCAAAAGTTGTTGTCGAAAATGTGTTAGAGACCTTTGATGACCTAATGACTGACCATTTCAGTCACCACTGGTCATTAGCTGCACCTTATCACTAAAATGAACAAGGTGCCATGGCTACAACAGTATCTAACGTTTTTAGCATATTCTTTCAAAGCAGAGGGCATCGTGCTTTTTCCCATATCTTATCATGATTGGTGAGGTCACATACCTATTTGACCTGACTTCGCTTCTCAGATGTAAAATCCCAGATTCATGAACTGTTGGCACTTATAATCCCATTCATTACACCAAATTTCAGACTTATAGGAGTCAGGAGATAATCTATAGGAATGACAAGATTGCAGTTTTAACCCTCGCCCGTAAACGGTGTTTTGCCACCTTCGCCCATGCAGGGGGGGGGGGGGTGGTGCGACCCCCCCCCTGGCGTTTGAAAACGGAGCGTCGTAGAGCTTAGCGGAAAAGACCAACGGATTGCTCTCAACGAGATCTCGCGATTGGTGGTATATTTTTTGGTCCTAGGTCAACATTTGACCTAGGTACTTATGACCGGTCAAAGGTCAAATTTTCGGAAAAATCCAACTTTTTCATATTTCCGCGCCGATTGTGGCAAAACGGTAAGAGATATCGACTTGAAACCTTCACTATCGTGATTCTTGATCAATTCTCTATCGTTTGGTGTATATTTCGATGTCATAACTCTAAAAATGATGCGTTGGGAGCATCGGAAGTCTGCAAGGTCATTTGTGCATTGGGTCACGTCAGGCGTGTGACGTCACTGACCTGACCCTGACCCAAAATGAACTACAAGAAACAACCGACGATGCCTGAAATGGATAGCAAATTCGAATTCAGGGCATCAAAATACCCCGAAAAGGCATACAAGTGCAAGAAGTCATTACAGGTCAACCGAGGTCACTGACCTGACCTTGACCTTTATTAACCTTCAAAATGTCAACGGACATTGTGCCAATGTCAAATCAGCCAGTTGTGATTCTAAAACAATCCATCAGTGTGTCAGGTCAGTCGACATTTATACCAATGTGAAGCAATCTCCAGTTTAGCGTAAATCTGACCGGAGGTTGTTCCCTTTATGACGTCATAACTCCGTGACCTGACATGACCTTGACAAAAATTTTTTACCAAAAGTTGCGCAAAGGATGCCCCAAAGGGTACTGAAAATTTGAGCAGGCTATCTGAAACGGTTCGGCGTGTAGCTAAGAAAAACCTCAGGGGGGGGGTTGCACCAACCCCCCCCCCTACATGGGCGAGGGTTAAGAGGCATTAAAACAGAGCTTGACATGACATTGTGACCTGACCTCAGGTGACCTCTGCTTGATTTTTATGCACGATGCAAAAATGATGTACAATAAGATATACCGCTGCTTTCGCGGCGCTGCGCCGAGGTTTTTCTCCGTGCACACGAAAAAACCGGGAGTGTGGCTAAAAACTTGGCTAAAAACACCCCTACCCATCAAGACGAAGACCGGAAACCCGACCCCCGCACTCAAAAATCCGTGGCGACGCCCCTGGGGGTAACATGTTACACTTCTTTTTTCGTAGTTTCTTTATCATTATAACGGTCATTGGCCGTCCTATCGGAACCGATCGTTGGCCTCCCTAATGGATAATACCTACTAAACATGCTTTCCTTTCTCATTGAAAGGCAAGAACAATAAAGCATAAACCATTACTGTACTCCACACGCATGAAAAGGCTCATTAAACATGGCTCAATCTCTGATTTGCCTTTACTGCGACGCCAAGGGCACCATGCATTGCCATACTGACCGGAGTTTGATTTTCTGCACGAAATTTACGCCCAGGTGAAATGGAGCACGCTATAAGCAGTCTTGGGTAGCCATCTTTAAACATGCCCCGGCCCTGCGGCGGCCGACTTTCACAAGACTGAACTCAAATGTTTGTTTACATGAAGAGGCTAGTGCGTTTTACTTGGTGATCTTACAAAAGAAATCATCGCTTAATTTTGTGAACATACATTCAACATTCTTACACAAATAACATTGACAAAAAAAAACGACCCTAAGTGTTGGCCAGCAAAAAATACTTTTGCTGTCACAACTTACCCCAGTGCGCCTACAGGGCGACATGGCGTTCCACCAGGTCTGAGCCTGCAGTGACATGTAAAATGTGCGTAACCTTTCTGCTAGCGTAAATATTGGCGCCATATCAAGAGTACTTTTAAAGATATTTCCTTTGTAACAACTTACCCCTGTAACAACTAGCCCCACTCTCCCCTACGCTTTTTAGAGAGCGTATACCTACTCCATGCCTCTTTTCGGCCGAAACTGGCGTGTAGTGACGTTATAAAACCGGTCATAACTCAAAGTTCTTTCAATGAATTCGGTCAAAACTTCTACAACCAATGTAAAATTGATGCAGGACAAGCTATAGCAAATGTCAGGTTAATCACGTGATTATTTTCCGAGTTATTGCAAAAAGTCGGCAGGTTAAAGTTAAACTCCCTCCATCAGCTAAAGGCGGGTTAGGTGCCGGCTTTTCGAAAATTATTGAAATACAGGCAAAATTTGACCTTTGATGACCTCTGGCGACCTGACTTTGGACATGACCTTAAAATGACCGAAGGAATTATTTTTTACGCTCTTTCAAATGCCGCTTCAAATGTGTTGCTATATGGCCCAGCTGAGCCGAGTTTAGACTTAAGATGTGGGGGGCGTGAAAACGCCCCTTCCCCTAGCACAGCACGGAAAACTCAGACCACCAGGACGGCGCGAGTAAAAATGTGGTATCGTCGGCTTCCTTTCGTCACTCGCAACACGTTCGTTTTTTTCCGCGAAGCTCTGGCCTGGTCAATGGTCATGGGCCAAACGGCAAGGTGTTAGGTAAGTACCAAGGCCCTCCCCTCCCCTATATATTATACGCTAGCGGCTGGGGCTGGCAAAACACCAATAAGGGCGTGGGCTAAGTCACGACATTGTTTTCAGTGCACTGATAGTTGCTCTTCATCGTACAAGCTTTGCAAGAAACGGCCCTGCCGCGGTACACTGCACGACTGTCGCTATGTCATGTCGGCGGCCACGCTGTGCAACGCGGACCCCAACACGGGCCGACGGTACAACTGGATCCAGGACTCGGACGGCCGCATCTACGGACGGAAGGAGGACAGCGCACTGGGCAGCTGTATCGACACATCCGAGGTGAGCCACTCTGCACCGGAAGCAAATTGACTTTTGTCTCGAAGACACACTGATTTTGTGTTTTACGACATGCTATGGCTGTGTTAGCACGCACCGAGCCGGGGGCTGTTCGGGCACCCCCTGCGGGCTTCCACGGATATCTCGAAAAGGGCGGCGGCGGTTTTTGACACACCTGTTTTTTCATCTTTTCCGCGCATGTTGTCAAAATGTCAGACCCACACTGTAAAAATGTTTACTAATTTCTTCCGGCCACTTTTCACTAACAAAATGCGAGTAGACTTCACTTTACTAACAAAATGTGAGTAGGCTCCAAGTCAACTCGCATTTTATTAGTGAAAAGTGGCCGGATACGGCATAGGCGTAGGAACAGGGGGGGCCAGGTGGGCAAGTGCCCACCCACTTTTCGAGGTGGGGGGGCCAACCATGTGTTTTGGCCCACCCACTTTTTACTCGAGGCCCCTCGTCTCGATTTGAGAGGACGTCGTCACCTTCCAGAATAAACAAACTCGGTAAAAATAAGTTCCACGAATCCCCACGCACGGACTCCAAGGTGCCGCGATGGATCCAAGGAGGCCCTCTGTTCATATTTGTCAGTCGAAGTCCCTGAGACTGATGGCCTGAGAGGCCCTCGTGGATCTGGGGAGGTCCCAATATCCACACTGGTCTGGGGAGGCCCCTGACACTGGCGGTCTGGGAGGCCCCTCTATCCACACTAGTCAGAGGTCTGAGACTGATGGTCTGGGAGGCCCCTCCATCCACACTAGTCAGAATAGGCCCCTGACACTGGCGGTCTAGCCGAGGCCCCCTACCCTCACTAGTCAGAGGAGGCCCCTCTATCCTCAGTAGTCAGAAGAGGCCCCTGAGACTGATGGTCTGGGAGGTCTATCCATCTACACTGTAGTCAGAGGAGGCCCCTGAAACTGATGACCTGAGAGGCCCTTATAATCACACCAGGCAGAAGAGGCCCATGAGACTGATGGACTGAGAGGCCCTTCTATTCATACTGGCTACAGGAGACCCCCAAAACTTTCGGTCTGGGAGGTCCCTCAATCCGGCACCAGTCAGAAGAGTCCCCTGAGACTGATGGCCAGGGAAGCCCTTATATTCACACTAGGCAGAGGAGGCTCCTGAGACTGATGGTATGAGAGGCCCTCATATTCACACCAGTCAGAAGAGGCTCCCGAGGCTGATGGCTGTGAGGCCCTTCTGCTCATATAACTGGCCACTGGAGGCCCCTGAAACCGGTAGTCTGGGAGGGCCCTCTATCCACACTAGTCAGAAGAGGCCCCTGAGACCGATGGTCTGAGAGGCTCTTATATTCATAATGGCCACAAGAGGCCCCTGAGACTGATAGTCAGAGAAGTCCACTCCTAATGAATCTGAGGGGGCCCTCTATCCACATTTACACTTTTCTAGGGAGGCCCCTGGTGGTCTTAGAGGCCCTTTTATTTATACTGTCGACAGGAGCCCCCTGAGATTAATGGTCTGAGCGGCTCTTCTATTTATACTAACCAGAGGAGGTCCCTATAGGACTGATGGTCTAACAGGCCCTTCTAATTTATGCTAGCCAGAGGAGGCCCATGATACTGATGGTCTGAGAGGCCCTTCTATTCAAACTAGGCAGATGAGGCCCCTGAGAATGATAGTCCGAAGAGCCATGCGGCGGCAACTGGCCGTGGCCATATTTCGGCTCGATAGGGCCCCACAGAGATCATGAGAGCACCTCAAGGGCTCCTAAGTAGACACGCTTATCCCCATAAGGGTGCCACGCCGGCTTCTGAAGGCTCCTTGTAGGCATCGAAGGGCCCTTTCCGGCCTCTAACGGCTCCACCCGCCTGTGATGGCTCCACACCAGTGTTTATGAGCGCCACACAGCGGCGCCTTTGAGGGTCATACTAGTGTCTCTTAGGGCCATATATCGGTGGCTCTGGGGGCCCTACACCGGCGCCTCTGTGGGCCATCACACCTGTGCATCTCAAGGCTCTATAGGTACATCTGAAGGACCCACACCGACACCTCTGAGGGCCCCACACCAGTATCTCGGAGCTCTGAAGGCCCCACACTGGTGAAAAAGCATGATCATGTATCGCACCTGCTTGAGGAGCTGGGTTGACTCAGCGCGGAGAAGCTGGCATCTTATCACACTCTCTGTCTCGTACAAAAGGTGCGCAATCACGGCGAGCCCCAAGCTTTAGCCGAGGGCTTTGTTACTGTCGCAAATAGGCGCGAAGCCTTGGGGACACTGACCAGGACGACTCGCCAGGACCGCGACCTCTATGTGCCCCGGTCACGTACCGAAATGGGGAAGAGGCGCTTCTGTTGTCGCGGTCCTGCTCTCTTCAACCCACTACCATCGATACTAACTGAGCTTCCTGTGACCGGGTTCCCTCACCACCTCAAACGTTACCTATCTAAACCACCGGACTAATGTTTACTTTATACCGTACTGTGACGTTTTATCGATTTGACCCATTCACCTGTGTGCGTGTAAGTTCCATCCCATACTTTTTATGACTTTGTATCTTTGACGAGAGGTGGTAATAGCCACAAGCACTGTGGATCGCCTTAATAAATGTCTATGTCTATGTCTATGTCTATGACTCTGAGGACTCACCGGCTCCTGAGAGCACCATGTTGATGTCTAACGGCTCCACAAGGCCACTGAAGGCACCACACAAGCTCTCACTGAGCTCTAATGTCCATGTACGGGCCTCTGAGGGATTTAAGCCAGCGCATTCATAGCTCCACACCAGCAATTGTAAGGGCTTCACACTGAAGTATCTGAGGGTTCCACACCGGTGTCTCTAAGGGCCACATACCGGCATCTCTGAGGGCCCCATACCGGCGTCTCCGAGGGTCCACATCTGGCGGGCACCCATCAGCGACTGAAGGTCCCACACTGTCGACTCCGAGAGCCCCATCTGCGTCTGGGAGCACCATGCCGTCTCCTCTAAGAACCACAGCGGCTCCTCCGTACGAAAGATGGGCGTCTACATGCCAAAGGGGAGCGGTTCTGAGACAGTAGGGCACCTACGTGCAATAGAGGGGCGCCTATGAAGCCCATAGGGGCGCCTCAATGCGAAAGAGGGGCGTCTCTGAGGCCTACATATATGGGCGTCCACATGCAATAGAGGTCTGCAAATGCAATTGATCAATGCCATGGGGGTGCATTCATAAGAAACAGGGGCGCCGGCATGGCAAAGAGAGGCGCCTTCAAGTGTCCATAAAAGAGAGACGCCTATGATAAGCGCACATTGTATGCGACAACGGGGCGACTGTGGGACATATAGGGATGTCTCTGATGACTGTACAGTGTACATAGGGCGCTTATATGCTAAAGAGGGCGCCTATGAGGAAGACATTTGTGTAAGGGTTTTCAGGGGTAATGCGCCGCTTGCGGCAAATAGATTCTAAAACATCGGAGGGAGAACAAGTTTTAACCCGCGCCCCGTAGGGCTACCGGCGGACCCTACCACCCGTAGGGGGGGGGGGCGTTTCGGCCCCCCCTAAGATCTCGGAAAGTTACCGGCCGATTTTCAAAATTCAAACGGCGTTCGATAGCCCCACCCGGTAACTACCTTGTGACCAAATTTCATTGACCTAGGTCAAACCGATGACGTCACAGGTCAGGTCAAAGGTCAGATTTTACCCGTTCACAGGCAATTCAAGAAATGTGCTGTGAAAGCGAGTAAATTGGTAATTTATTGAAAACCATCGATGGTACATTGTTCGTCAAACACATACTTTGCTATCTGAGGTCACTGATACCAGGTCAGGTCACAGCGAGGTCAGGTCACCGGGGGTCACAATATGAATGTGTCGTGTGATACATGTTTTATGGTCCATTTTACATGACAAATGCGATTATGTGGGTTAGGCAGCCTTTGGGGCCAGCCTAGGTCACGTTTTTGTGAAGGTCAGGTCAAGGTCAGGTCAAATTAGGTCAAATTTCAAAGTTGATATTTTTGCATTAAATGGGTATTTATTCGATGCAGCTCGTCACGGGGAGTCTAATGGTGGTCTTTGTTTTGCTCTACGAGTTCTAGAATTGCCAAAAATTGAGTTTGAAAATTTGACGTCATCATTTTTGAACAGTTTTTTCGCTATAACATGGCCAAAAAACGAGGTATCGATCTGAAATTTGGTATGTAGATAGAAGACGGTAGGCACTATCACATATATTCCGTTTTTTTTCGAAACTCAAAAAACTTTTTGGATTTTTTGGCGAATATATCCAAAAAAATGCTTTTTTGATTTTTGGGGGTCAAAACTCAAAAATTTCAAAAATTCGAGATAGCAGTTTTGTAGCCCTGTCAATTCTACACCTTTTATGCCTTGATCATTTTTCTGTATCTTCAAAGCTGTAGTCCTGACAGGTCTTCTCGCGAAGGTCTTTTTTCGGTCGAAAATGACAGAACATGACGTCACTCTGACGTCATTTGTGGCCAACCTATCATAGCCTCTGAAAAAAATTTTTGGTCACAATGTGTAAAATTGATGCCCGGAGGGGTCCTAAAAGTTTCGTGGCGATATCTCCAGCCGTTTAGGAGATATCGACCGAAAAGGACAGGGGGGGGGCCGTTTCGGCCCCCCCTACGGGGCGCGGGTTAAAAATGGTGCGGACTTTCCGCACTGTTCGCTTAAGCGGTTACGCCCCTGGGCACATCTGCCCGATCTCAGAAGCTAGATTTAGAGGTCATACTTGAAAGCAGCCAGCAGGACGAGGCAAAAGTTGGAGGCCCCTGAAAATAGGAGGCCCCCTGGAAAAGGAGGCCCCTTGACAGGGCGGCCCACCCACTTTTCATGACGTTCCTACGCCCCTGGGATACGGGATAACTAGTAAATTAGTAAACATCTTTTTACAGTGCAGACTGCAGATAGCTCGAGGTGAGGTCATCTGTCTCCGGTCACCTCACCTCTGAAAAGTTAGAATGCTCGTTAGACGTTATAGCTATGTACACCCAATAAACCATCGCCTTTAAACTTTCTGTAAAAGGTTG